GTAAACTTTGGTTACATATCTCTGTCTTGAAACCATTTTAGTAAATTTTTAAGATCACTTTTTTCTCTCTCCCTCGTTCCCCCTTTCCCCGTGTTTCCTTCTTTCTGTTTTCCTTCTCTCTTTTTTCTTTCTTTCTGTTTTCCTTTTCATGTCCGCACTTGAAAAGCTTGGCAGAGTGTGCTGGATGCAGTGCCTTAATAGTTAAAGTTAAAGTAAACATAGTATGAATAAAATAAAAGTAAACATAGTTATATGACCAACAAGTTCCTCGAGTGTCATCATCAGACGAAAAGTAGCGGCGACCTTCGAACTTAACTTCAGAGCTTCTCGTGTGTTAAAACTACTTCAAATATTCGGAAATTTCTACGTTTCCTACAATGAAAAACCCTGAGGTTTAAAAAATATCGTTGGCAGAGGCCGAGAGTCTTGCTTCGTGCGTGACCGCCACATCTGGAATTAGGCTGTCTCCGAGCTGTGGGCCTGGTTAAATTAATTGAGCATCGCATCGCGACCACTGGGCAGTGGGCATGGACCAATGGGCTATTCAGCCACCGGTCATCACGTCCTGACCCCCTCCTCCCCCTTCCACGATTAAATTGACCACGATTTCCCGCGTGGCCTCTGTTTGACCAAGCGCAGAACTTGTCGTATTTGTCGTTCCTGTGCCGCGCCACGATTCTCTTCTTCTTGCTGGGCGAGAACGCCGTATGACAGGCGAGGCGTGAATGATCAAACATCGATATTTTCCCATTTGAAGCTATGGTAAAAAATCGATTTTTAAGGTGTTTGTTGCGAACACCCTGTCAATCGATCCTTTTCCGTTGATATAAATGACATATCAAGAATTGTCTGATGAATGTCGGGGTATGGGTTCTTTACCAAGCGAATTGTTGCAAAGTTGACTACATTTTGCAATTATGAACTCCAATAATTTCTGAATCATCCGTAAAAACGCTAATGTTTATAGAGAAAGTAATGGCATATCGACGGTGTAAGTCGGCAATCACATAACTCGTTTGCGGTGTCTGAAAATCTCCGTCTCTATGTTATTTGTTTAAAGGAGAACAAATTGACGTCATTCCTTGAAGTGTTTGCAGAATTTTCTTCGCAGAGCAAAGAAAAATCATGGCAGTTTGAACGAATTTCCGTTGAGTATAGTCTTCCGTTTAAAAAATAAAGTATGATAGGAGGTCTGCGACGTTGCAAACCGAGTTATGTGATTGCCGATCACTTACACCGTCGATATACGTTGTTTCTAAATCGAGCTAAAATTTGTAGCTCTCAGTTACAAAATATTGTGCCACCAGTTCCGAATTACCTAACCAGTCGGACTGCATTTTGCGATTTGGAACTACAACTTTTTGCTCATTTTAGAAACAACATATGGACCATTATTATCTTTAGGTAGGTACGTGCTTTTATCTACGAGTCAGATATAGTAGTCCGTAATTGCAAAATGTAGTCCAATTGCTTGACTCGTTGGTCATGCGTCATCATTCGGTAAGTCTGAGCGTTGACTTCCGAAAGGAACTTTTACATATTACGGAAAATAGCAGTGCGGGGTGTCTAAAATATATTGTCCGTGATTGGTTCGCTCCGCGTAGATGTTGATAGACTTCCTCGTAGGACGGCGGCGATTGGACGCGATGCGCCGGTGCATCCGGTTGGGCGACCCGGTGCGGCTCGGCGCTGGAGATTGGCTAATTTGTTTGTCATCCGAGTCATCGTCATCGTTTTCATGTTCCTGCGACTGCGAAGTGCCAAGTGCGACCGGGGACCGGAGCGGCGAGTAAGCGGGTGATTAACGAACCCGACAGCCAATGACTGACAAGAGGATATTGAGCACACATAACTGTTAATTATACCATTTCTCCCGCGTTGCCGATATAGCCCTGTCCTCCACCCGATGGGGGCTGTTAGAGACATCATCTCAATGACATCCGTGAAATAAGTCTATGGCTAAAGTGTGGAACTGCGTATCTCTATCGCGGTGTTTCCAAATCTCTGCACCTATTTTATTTTTGCGGAAAGAAACGGAAAAATGCGGAAAAGTCATTAAATCATCAGGACAGGAAGAGGGAAAAACAACGAGTCAACTGTATATTTTGAAACTTCTGCGGAAATTTCTGCGAATAGAGAAGAAAAATCAAGGAAGTTTTCAAAAGATTAAGATGACTACTTTTCCAAAGGAAGAATGATGTATTTCGAAGAAAAAGAGGTAGGAGTTAAAACCCAACTTGGGCATTTCCAATTAATTTTTATAGTACCCCCAATAAATTAGGTTACGAACTTAAATGTTGCGGTACTACCACAAATTGATTTCAACTGCTCATTGCTTCCAAAAAAATGAAGTAGTACCACAATTTTAAGGGACTACCCCTAACACTTCTTTTTTCTCATGATGACACGAAGTGTTCAACGTCGTAAACGGAAACTTTCGATTTTACACTTTGGCCATCGAGGTATCGTAGGATGGCATGTTCTTGAAAAGTCACGAAATTTTGTCCAACTCTGAAAAGTCGAAGAATTTTGCCGTAGAGCCTCATACTTCTTTTCCTCCAGCTGAAATACCGTTACTATTTTTCAAGAGACTGCGCTGAATACATTCTTCGGGGAAGGATGTGTTTAAGCATATGGTGTTTAGGACCAAACATTTCACCAGGGAATGAAAAATTATAGGAGAAAATCAGGGATTATGTTCAAGAAACCGTGAATCTGTTCTTCTACCGCTTGGAGCTTTTTCGTTCTCAAATTTCGCGGAAATTTTAAGTGCCTGCTTTTATTCAGGATTATGTCATTACATCTGAGCTGCTATTATTGATCTCTTGCATGACGTATTTGAACATTAAAATTATCGCAATATTACAGAAGTTTTCATTGACCAAACATTGGGAACGCTTTTAGAATCATACATCTTAATGTGCGACCAAGAATCCGTTGAAAGATGTGTAACATTCTACATGTATATCCATTATATCTAGAACTCTGGAGATCCATGTGGTCTCTCTGCAGAAAATCCCAGGGAAGTGGGAGATAACTTCGGTTTCTCATCAGGGCATGAGCTCTTGAAAATAAGGGGAAATCAGGGAATGAGCATAGCCAAGAATTCTACGTTGAACAAAAAAGTTACAAGCTGTATAGACGTACCATCCGTTCCGGGCTCCGTGCGGGCAAAGTCTCGGGTGCTGGAGCCGTAGCTTCGACTGTTGCGGGTGCGGCACCCGGAATTTTCGGCTTCTGAGCCCGGAAAGCGGACGGTATGTCTATATACCCCATAAGAACGGTTTCCACGGCCGGATTTTTTTTTCAGTGTAGACACCATGTGTTTGAGGAACAACTATGAATACGAGTACGACCATAAATCAGTCTATTACCTCGCCCGAACTGGCGATAGCCCTAATTGTGAGTACGGATACGCGTTGATTCTGCACCGATCCGATAGCTACAACAATGCTCCGGAATCGAACGGAACCCATTTCTCTCGACTACCTCCTAGTTCTTGAGGACGACGGCGGATGCTATCCCGCGCGCGTTACGGCGATTCCACGCGCATCGTCCATATTTCACGCTTCATCGTAACCCGCGACGCTGGGAAATTTCGTCGCTCCTTCGGCGTAAGAGCATACCTCGATCTTGCATGAACCCCAGAAAGCATGCGTTTATATGTAGAAGAGGGCTCACGTGGAAGTTGAGATACGCCCTCATGTCCGAGGGGCGACGATTTCTCCCCGACAACCCATGTTCCTCGTCCATATATTTACATTCACATAACACCACGCTTTTTGCTCGGATTCCTCTCATCGCGCGAAAATCAGTTGCCGGATCTCAGTCATCGCATCCATGTAGCGGCCAGGGTGCGATGGATCACCCCCTAGATTTTTGTCAACATTCCCGCATAATTCACTGGAAAAAAAACACATTGGATCTAGAGTCCAGACTCTTAAAAACATCGACAAGAAAAAATACTCTTGATTCAATCGGATTTTTGCTTAAATCAAGAATCAAGCCTCTTAATTTGAGCGGATTTCCTTTTGATTTAAGTAAAAATCTGATTGAATCAAGAGTATTTTTTCTTGTCAATGTTTTCAAGAGTCTGGACTCTACATCCAATGTGTTTTTTTCCCCAGTGTTTCTAGGCCTCATTCAGGGTTGCCACAGTCAGAGAATACCGGGAAAGTCGGGAAATGTCAGGGAATTTTAAACATTCAGGGGAAAACCTTAAGTGTCAGGGAAAATGACGAAAATGTCAGGGAAAAATCGTCAGATCACCTTCATTCGCTTCCTCGAGTGGGTTTGACGTTTCGAACAACAAATTATGCCTGAAAACCATTTCTATCGATTTCCTTTTAAAAATCCGACATTATTTCAGATTTTCAGGGGATTTCACCAAAATATGTCAGAAATTTCATCAAAATGACTCAGGGAAATCAGGGAAATGTCAAGGAATTTAATTTTCCAGATTCTCGTTCAGAATACCATATCCTTCAGAGCCTCTTTTGAACTTTCACACTCCCTTTCATCACGAGGGTAGGGTCTTCGACGGTCTAGAAAATCTGGAAAATCTGGGAATTTACAGCGACCTGGAAAAGTCAGAAGAAGTCAAGGAATTCATTGGAAAAATCCGGAAATATTGCCAGTATTTTGCTGGCTCAGTAATTTAAACTGGTGCCTATCACCTGAAATTTAGCATAGGTTCTTCTTAAAAATTATCTTAGTACAAATTGGAAGTGGAAAAGACTGGAAATTTAGGTTGGGGTCTTTCAAATAGAATTTTGCAAGTCAATGAATTTTCATCATAATCATTGTTTATTCATTTAAAACCGTAAAATAGAGACTAAAAAATATTGAGGAATTAAGATTTAAAAGAAAAAGGTTGGTATCGACGTAGGTGCACCGCGGTTTATTTTATTGGGGTAAAGTGAGTTTTTAAACATTTTTCTTTTAAATTTATTTACCCATCTATTTATTCAAATTGATGATTTTATTTGGTCTTCTTTCAGGTGGATTTTGCTGAGTGCGATGAGTCATTTAAAAGTGAAAGCTTTTGCGACGAGAAAGATGAGCTCTGCTGGTCAAAGGCGGGCTCCACAGCATCCGTGGACTCTGGCTACAATTGGCTTTTGGATTCGGACTTTGGAGAAAACAGTAAGTCCACCCAGTTAATTTACAAGCTTATTTCCCTACGGATCTTGCTGTGTAGTGTCTCGGGCGAAAAAGGCAAATGTCAGAATCACACGCTGAATGTGTGAGTATCGGAGTGATACCTGAATATTGCGCGTGTCGCGCAAAATTCAGCAAAACTTCTCGGTGACCATCGGATAATATCGGATTCGTCTGAATTATTCGAATGGCTTTGATACCAATCTGGATGTAAATAACTCGAATTTTCAAACTTTCAGCCGTTGAGCGATGACTGTTGACCTCCATATTTAGCTGCCAAATTCAGCGTGTGATTCCGGCAAAGTTGGAGCTATCCTCACGGTAGAACCGGGTGGTCGCAATTGACAAAGAATTCAAGTAATAGACCTAACTAACAACGGCAACTTACGAGAGACCCTACACTGGAAAAAAAAACACATTGGATCTAGAGTCTAGACTCTTAAAAACATTGACAAGAAAAAACCACTCTTGACTCAATCAGATTTTCCCTTAACTCAAAAGGAAATCCGCTCAAATTAAGAGGCTTGGTTCTTGATTTAAGCAAACATCCGATTGAATTAAGAATATTTTTTCTTGTCGATGTTTGTAAGAGTCTGGACTCTAGATCCAATGTGTTTTTTTTCCCGCAGTGTATAGTATTACTCCATAATTTTCCCATGTTCTCTACAGCATCCACTCGTTTCAACCAATAGGATCGCTTAGTTTCCTTTTTGTTCTTTTTGTCTTCAACTTTGTCTACGAATTTTAAAATCGGCCCACTGAAGGCGAATCGACATCCGAAGACGGAACGTCCCGTTCTCGGAACCGAACTTTCCTCTCTCGAACGTCCTCCACTGTGCGGCCTCCGCTCGAACACGGCCGCAAGGGCCGCTGCACCGAATTGATTAAGATTTCAATTCATCAATCGTAAGTCACGACACACATTCAAATGAATCGACAGAGATTACATTTTCATTATTCCCGCTCCGGGGGAAGTTGACAGCTCGCGCAGGGACGGACCATTACTCATAGAGCCCGCCCCCCCTCCCCCTCCCTTCGGAGCTCCCCAATCCCTCCCCGCGACGATCCATTTCATCTGCCGTTGTCGTATATATCCGCGCGTATATATATATATATTTTTTTTTTTATCATAAATACTCGATATAAAGATACGAAGGCTCCCTTTGTGCTTTGATTACTCCTAAATAAAAGCGAGCTTTTCTGGCGAGGGGTCCCTTTCGTCTCTCTCTTTTCGATTAGGCACTTCTCCTCTCTTTGGCGTTTATCTCGTTCGTCTTTGCTCCATTAATCACGCGGCTATCGTCGTATATATACATATATATATACGGTAAGTCCCCCCCCTCTACGGGCGGAACTCTTCCATTTTGTTTCGCTCCCCTCGTTGCAGGGCTTAAACCCTCTTCCCGCATCGCCGCTCCCCTCGGTGCATCAGTTTATCCCTTAATTTATCCCTTTCAACTCCTGTTTCCGCGTGAGCTCTAGGGAGCGTGGAGTTGGACGGTCGAGAGGGCTCATCTTAGAATCTATCCTGCGCGGGGTTGGGTATTTATCCGCTGTCGATACTCCGGCTTTCCTTTCTTCCGTTTTTCTTTCTCGTGTTCCGCCATCCGCTGCCGGCTCTTAATTAACGCGTGCGTGTGTTTCTCTTTTCGGACGCACGAGATCGGTTTCCGGAGAATCATCTGGTCTCGCGCGAGGCGGATCAACCCGGCGGGAGGCAGAACCGGAAATGAATTTTTTCGTCTTCTAAGCGGATAGCGAGCACTTTTTCTCATTTTCTTTTTTTTCTTTTTCTTTTTCGTTTTTCATTTTCTTTTACCTTTTTTCTTTTTCCTTTTTTCTTTTTCTTTTTTACTTCTCTCTTTTTCTTTTTCTTTTTCTTTTTTCCGTTTCTTTTTTATCTTTTTTTCTCTTTTCTTTTTCCTTTTCCTCTTTTTACTATTTTTTCTGGCTCTTTTTTTCTTTTCCTATTTTCTTTTTCTTCTTTTTTTTTCTTTTTTCGTTCTCTTTTTTTTTCTCTTTTCCCCGTTTTCAATCCGTTATCAGTGTACTGAAATACCAAAGCTGCAAACTTTCAATGGCTTAACAACTTTATAGTATCGTTTGGGAACGTTTTCCTAGTCAAATGAACGCATGTCCGTTCCGAGTTTGTGAAATTCACTCAAAATTTGTTCAGAATGTGACTGGGCAATATACGCGTCTAAAATTTTGCTGATACATTCTTTGCTAGTTTAGCGTTCACGTGGAGATCCAAAGAGGTAACGTAGGTTCTCCGTAGTGCGGTCCTACGTGAATTGACAAACTACGAAATGCGGTTCTGCGTCTCGTTTTTGGTTAATTTTAGTTGAGTTTTTACTATAAGCTCCAAAAAATGTGACGTAGGGTCGCTATAAAGTTCATAAGTTCGCTATCAGGGAAAATTCAGTTAAAAGTCAGGGAATTTGGAACTTGCGGAAGAGTAGAAACTCTAACTTGGCCTGTGATAGGAAGAAAAGCCAAGGAAACTGAAATTTTGAAGGAGAAGATACGTAAAAAAGCTAAAAATAGGACACCAACTTTATGCGAAACAAATTTTTGCAATAAAACAAAGAGACGTTTTTTCGGTAAAAGGACGTATGAGACGTCAGATGCTGCTAAGATTGTACAGAACGTAGTTCTGTAACCGTATAAGTAACTTATCCGACAGTTCTGCTATGAATTTTTCGGTGATCCGCTTCGAGTTTCTCCTCGCCGTTGTAAGGAAGTAAGTCAACTGGGAATGAATTTCATCTATCGCTAACACAACAAAAAATTACTCAATCTTACCGAAAAAAGTCCTCAATTGTTTCGGGGAACGTTTAACATTTGGTTAGAAGACGGATAAAATGTTGGTTTAGATTTAATTCTTGGATTTAATTTTTTGGATTTTCATTACATGGAACATATTTTAATTAAAGATCGGTTTTATATGCATTCACTCCTCTGTTTTTAACAATTTAAAAAGAAAAACAAAAAACAAAAAAAAAACCCCCATGGCGCACTCAGGAAATCATCGAAATGTTTTGCGTGATTTGAACTTTAGAAGAAGATACTTTTGATTCTTCTAGATGATTCATCGACGATAGATTTTCTTACCAACTTCGAGAATATCGGCTGTATGCCGATTATCGCATTGTAACCTTCATCGGAGTTACATCAAAAACAGCCAATGATGGGTAAATCCTATGACAATGAGTTATTGTTCGGGTTTGCCAAATTCACACAGATCTCTTCTGAGGTGCCGATGAGGAGAAGAAATATAGGCATGGCAATTGAAAACACTGCTTCAGTCACTTCAACGATCTCTTGAAGGACTATGTCAGACAGTAACTTTCCCTATTAGCGCGATAATGCTGCGATATTTTTAAACCATAGATAAGAGCATCTGCAATTTCCTGTACGCAAAGTAAAATTTTGAGAAAGGAGATGTTATTTATCTCTCAGAAATTTGGCGTGTTGAAGTATTTTTGAAAAAATGCAATCACTCGTACCACAAAAAACTTCTTCAAACCCAAACAATCGACTCTTAAAATTTTGTGCTGTAATTGTTGTAATCCTGCCCTTTCTGTGTATTTTCTCTGATTTTTCCGCCGAATTAAACTATCTGCGCTTCCTCGTCGGTTTAATACTTTTAATTTTGTTTCTCACACCACTTAAAACTAATCGAATAAAACCCAACAAATCCACCCTGAGTGGATCAACTCTGTCTTATCCCCCAACATTTAAATAACCCGGTCAGTATTCTCTTAGAATTTTAGTGCCCGTAAAGTTCGCCTTCAACTCTAAGGATGCAATTTGAGCGGCTCGGGAGTTGGAATAGTTGAATCACGCATTTTTGTTTGACGTGATATCTATAGGACAAGTTAGTGTCTTTCATCAAAACCGTCGTGTTTTTAATCAAACTTCCAGTAACTTTTACTCGATTTTCCCATCAGAAAAATATTTTGATATTGACATTGAGATAAGTTGCAGTAAGGAATGACCCCAAAATGGACCGAGCTTAATCGAAGCGCACTAAGTTCGAGCGGAGAAACAGAACGTTCCTACGTGAAGCTCAATGTAACGACTGTTTTCGACGGTCTTTGAGGTCAAAATATCTCTTCTCGACTTGGAACTTTTAACAGGAGAAAATTCACAACTAGTCGCACCCAGAGCTACCATCAACTCATTTTTCTCTGAAATGTGTCTCAGTGAGTTAAACTCGGCCCGAATACATGCAGGACGAAAACACAGAAACTAGCTCTGTTTTTCTCTTAATTTTTGGTTCGCCGGTTTAACACCTAGTTGCACAGGGTGTCTAGCATCAGGATTTTCTCGATTCTATCAGGATTTCAGGTCAATCAGGATTCAGGCCCGCCACATCCCATCTCGGGCCCTGGTACCAATTTTCTGGCCCGGGCCCCTAGCACAGGGGGGGGGGGGGCCCTCCCCCGGGAAATTTTT